AAAGGATTAAACCGGGTGGCTCTTTGGAGGCAAGGATTCTGAGGCTCCGTCTAACATACTTTGGACATGTTGTGAGGAGAGACTGGTCCTTAGAGAGGGACATCATGCTTGGGAGGGTGGAGGGACGGCGCAGGACAGGAAGGCCGTCTATGAGATGGATTGATTCAGTGACTGGGATAATTGGGATGGGAGTGTTGGAGACAGTGCGATTGGCACAGGACAGAGCAGAGTTCAGGGCTGTTGTACATAGGGTCGCTATGAGTCGCAGGCAACTCGACGGCACATAACAACAACAAGTATGAGAATGATTATATGAAACACAATGTGAATGAAGAAGTGTGAAATACAATGTGTATAAATTTTGTAAGCAGACTAATTGAAAAACTAATGTAAAATATAATGTATATAAATGATTTTATGAAATACAATATAAAAAAAGATTGTATAAAACATGATGTATATGAATGAAACATAATGTAAAGGAATTAATATATGAAAACCAATAAAAATATTAAAAATAATATCTCAGAACATGTGCTTGCACATAGGAAAATGAAATACTTAGTTTTGTGTCCTTAAAAAAGGAAAAAACTTATTTCTACACAAAAACATATACATTAATTTTATTATGGCTGTCTTAACATAGCCCCAAACTAAAAACAGTACAAATGTCTATCAACTGTGAATGGATGAAGAAATTGTAAAAAAGCCCTCAAAAATACTATGCAATTAGAAAAAAGGACATACTGATAATATAACAGTACTGATGAATCACAAAAGCTTTATGGCTAAGTGGAGTAAGTCAACTGTAAAAGGCTACCGAGTATATTTATAACGCATCCTGGAGGAGACAAAACTATAGAGACATAAATCAGATCAAGAGCTAGCTGCCAGGGTCAAGTGAGGGAAGGAGGACATAGCATATAAAGAAGCACAAGGGAACACTTTAGGGAGATGGGAATGTTCTGGTAGTGAACCATGTGGCTGTTATATGATTGTATATACTTATCAAAATTTGTTGATAAATATACTCAAAAAGAATGAATTTGGTTTTATGTGTATTATACCTCCGTAACCTGACTTAACACACAAACACACACACCACGAGCGCAGACATTGGTAGTTATAAGAACTTTCTCTTTCCCATCTCGAAATCTCTGGATGATGGATGCACGCTGGTCCACAGTCAGTTCTCCGCTTAACAAAGACACTTGGTGTCCATCCTGCATCATCTCCACAGTCAACCATTTGGCATTTCGGCGAGTCTAGGAAAGAAAAACAGATCCTACCCAACACAAGTTCAAGCAGACTGGTGGTGCTTGTAGGTGCTGAAGCCTACAGAAGAAGGTTCAAGGAGTAGGGGAGCCTACATAGGGGAGTGTGTGCTTCACTTCTTCCTCCATTCTCAGTGAACTTTAGAATATATGGCATGAAATTCTCTCTCCTCTATGGTTGTATGGGGCACATTTTACCAACTTGTTGAGAATTTCAGCTTGATTCTACTCTTATCAGATTTACAGCCTCTGAAAACCCAATGGAGGGTCAGTTATGAGTCACTTCTGACTTAAGCGAGTTGTTGTTTGAAAAGAGGAGATAATGCAAATAGTAATGATAATAACAGATACTCTTAAGAGTGTTGCTGATGAGCCAGGCACCTTGCTAAAATCTTGAATACTTTCATAGTAATTCAATGAAGTCTCATTTGTAAAAAAATTTAAGACTCAAAAATATCAAAAGTTAAAGAACTTGACAAGTTATATAGCTTAGTGAATGGTAGTTTCTGTTCAGTCTAAAAAATGGTTGCAATGGTTTCCATTTACCAGACAGGTATTATTCTAGTGCAGGGAATACAGAAGTCAGTAAGACAGACAAGATCTTGTCCCCACAGAGCTAATGTATTTATGTGAGAGTGAAAAAAGTCAGAAATAAATGATATACAGAAAGTAAAGATAGAGTGATGGGAATGCTAAGTATTTGAATGGTGACTTACAGTAGGTTAGGAGTGGAAGAAAACATCATTAAACTAGTAAACTAAAAATTCACTGCATCTGACTCATAGCTGATTCTCCAGTAGGTTTTCAGAGGCTGTAAATAGCATGAGAAGTGATTTCCCATCTTTCTTTTGTGGAGAAGCTGGTGGATTCCAACATCCAGAGAGATGTCACTTCTGGGTTAGCAGCACAGCTCCCTATGGATAAACTACACCACCAGAGCTCATTCCAGTTGTTATTGTTGTTATGTGCCACCAAGCTGCCTGAAACTCATAGCTTTGAAGCCTGCCCTGTCCTGAGCCAATCTCAATGACTCCTATATACCTACCTTCACTGCCCTAGTTACTTTATCAATCCATCTCATCCAGGATCTCCCTCTCCTGTCCCTCCAACCTTCCAAGTATAATGAATGGCCTTCTCCAAGGATCACTCAGTCTCTTCTGGCCACATGCACAAAGTATGTGAGATGGAGCTTCAAAATCCTAGCCTCCAAGGGGAAACTGGGTTTCACCCTCTCTGAGACAAACCTATCTGTTTTCTTGGCAGTTGTCCAAGACTCCTCGCCACCACCACAACTCAAAAGCATCAATTCTTCTTCAACCTCCTTAGTCATTATCCAGCTCTCTGATGCATAGCAACTAATTGCAAAGACCATGGACTGGGTCAGGTGCACCTTAGTCTCTAGACTGACATCAATGCTTCTCGGTACTCTGGAAAGGTCCCTGACTGTAGATTTACCAGTGCAATTAGTCTTTTTATTTCCTGACAGCTGATGCAGTGTTGACTGAAGAGCAGAGCAAGCTATAACTGTTAACCACCTTGATCTCTTCTCCATCCATCATGGGGCTGCCAACTGGCCCAGTGGTGAGAATCTTTGTCTTCCTGATGCTGCGCTTCAATCCATATTGAAGACTAGTCCTTGACCTTTTGCAGCAAACACTTCAGGTCCTCCTAACATAGTTTGTTGATGAATCTTCCTTCAATCCTAATGCTACATTGCTCCTCATAAAGCCCAACCTTCAGAATGATCTGTTCTGCAGATAGATTGAAAAGGTATGGAGACATGACACACCCCTGATGCATTCTTTTTCTGATTTTGAACCACACAGTGTTTTTCTACTCTGTTCTGAGAACTGATTCCTAATCCAAGTATTGGTTTTGAATAAACACAATCAAGCATCCTGGGATTCCCATTCTCGTCTAGGTTAGCCACAATGTGCTGTGATCCACACAATAAAATGCCTTTGCATAGTCAATGAAACACAGATAGATATCCCTCTGGTACTCTTTGCTTTCTGCGAAGATCCATCTGACATTGGCAATAACATCTCTAGTGCCACAGACTCTTCTAAACCCAGTTTGTATTTCTGGTAGTTCTCTGGTAGTTCACTGTTTCAGTTGCTTCTGGATATTCTTCAACAGGATTTTGCTTGCGTGTGATATGAATGATATTGTATGGTTATTCCCACACTCTGTTGGGTCAAGATATATACATAGTATCTATATCTATATCTATATATCTATATACTATTAATCTACAGCCGACTTGATAGCACCTAACAATAACAACAGCATGAGGAATCATTAGAAGCAATCAGCTGTGGATTGAATTTTGTCTCCTCAGTATGTGATGGAATCCTAACCTCTATATTCATGGGTATCTATATCCATTTGAGAATAGGGTTTTCTTTACTATGTTAATCAGCCTAGACTCTTAAATCCAATGACTTTTGAGATACATAGAGAGTAGATTAAACATGTAAAGTAGCAAGCATAAATAGGGGAAGATAGAGTTAAAGGAAAATTCTAAAATCTAGAGAAGCCAGGACAATTTTCCTGCTGAGAGGACAAAGAGAACCTTCCTCTAAAGCCAGAGTTCTGAAATAATGCTAGTAGCCTCTTGAACTATGAGAAAAAGAAGTTCTTTAAAACCAACATTAGTGTTATTTTTGTTACAATAGCATTAGTTGTCTAATACAGAGTCTAAACTAAGGATTGAGACAAGGATGCTCACCACTGACCATTATTTTGAAGTTGCTATTGGAGAAAGCTAGGCAATCACCCCTCATGCAATTTATAGTCTCCAGAAACGTGCTGGAGGGTCAGCTATGGGTCAGTTCTGACTCGAGAGCACACAAGAATATCATACATTCTATTATTTAATCTTTATAACTTTCACCAATAAAACACAGATGATTCACATTCATAGCTGTTGGGAGATTAAACTGAATAGCACACAAACATGCTAAACTATATTGCACTCTCTAAGCCACTTATTATTGTGTTTGGTGGTACCTCTAGCTTTAGGTAACCTAATATGATGGAGACAAATCTCAGCACAATTACCTGGCAGAAGATAATGGCCTGGCCAATGGTGATACCACCATAGATGTTGCACAGGGCTTGGTATTTGTCTTTCCTGTTCTCACACAATACGTAATACTGTCGTATGTTGTTCAGAGTCAGCTCCTCTTTGCGTAACTTGATGACATTAGGATCAGGAATAATCCTCTCAGCAAACTGCCACACAGAGTCCTCAAATGTTGCTGAGAAGAGCAGCATCTGACATCCAGAGGGCAAAGCTCTGTGAGAGAAAAGAAGGCCATCACTCAGCTGTGGCTCAGCTATTCCTGTTGGAGGTAATGGCAAGCATAAATCTGTTCTCTGCCCAAGGTGGCCTGGTAGAGCTGGGCCACCAGGCAAGAACCAAGTGTTTTCTGCCACCATGAACATGGAAGCTGAATATAGAATCAAGAGGAGAGTGCAGCTACACAGCCCAGGGCTGAAGTCTTTCATAGGGCAGACAGGATGCAGTTACATGAGGCCGAGGAAGAGATCAGTGCTACAAACACTTGAAGGAAAGGAACAGCAATTAATTTCATTAAGACTAGAGAGGCCAGAAGAAGGGCTTTAGTCTGCAGCAAAAAGAGAAAATGTAAATAAGATGTACACTGATCCTCTGATTTTAAAAAATGGGGCTGATTTATATGAAGTTCAAAATTAGGCACAACCGGCAGGACTCTGGAAAGAAGGTGGCATAAAGAGACCACAATTCCAATCTCCTCTACAAATAAAAATACATCCATGAAATGCTGCTTAGTATTGAGGAATTCTGAACTGGAGAGTAGAGGGTAACAGCGGATAATGGCAGATGGGGAAGAAGCAAAGCATAATGATGAGTTGGAAATTGTAAATAATATTGCACCACCTAACATCCCTCACTGCTCCTCCCCTGGCCACATGGGCTGAGAGCTGCCATGAACTGGAAAAGCAAGCCCCACAAGAGCCTGTTTCCTTAACCATGGCTCTTTCCTGGGCAAGAAGACGCAGCCCCAACTTCTAATCCAAATCAACAAGGCATATCTTCCTGGGTTCTATCCCACCTGAACAATGTCAGCAGCAAGACTGCTTATAAACTACTATTTTAGAATGTGTGTTCTAAAAGCGAGGTATCCAGTTATATGTCTGCATACTCCAGGGCTAAGGTCTCTGTAATCAACAGACAGACCTTGGTGTTCAGTTCAGTTCTGTATATCCCACTTTCTGACACTGAGGACTGACTGAGTTGGCAGTGTGATAGGGAATAGGCACTTTTAGGGGAGCCTACATAAAATATGGGATTATAATATGGGACTCTCATAGCAACAAGAGGGGAGGAGAAGGCAGCCAGTTTGTTCTGAAAGACTCCACTCTGGTCTCTGTGGCTTCTTGCTGCCTGTGCATGGTGGTCTGTGTGCGCAAGTAATCACAAGTTTGTTTTTTTTTTGATCGTGTGCTTTTTCGGGCTTGTGTTTGATGTGCAGTACTGTTCTTCCCCCCAGGAGTGAGTTCCTTGAGGCCTGGCCTAGGGTTTAAGGCAGGTGGTGGCTTAAAGAGCCAAAGGTTCAAATTGTTTTGTCAAACGTTCTTCTAGGTGATATAACACTGATCTGTGCATTGCTGTACAGAGGTAACGCGTGTTTGCTGTGATGCTAAACACTGTGACACTGATGTGCCAAATGTGATAATGGTTACCTACGGTGGACAGTGTTTGGTGGGCTTCCCAATTAAAACAAGCTAGGAAGCAGGAGTGGCATCCACTTCCAAAATGGCTTGACTCTGGAAACTCTATGAACAGTGCTCAGGTCTTTCATTAATAGGGTCACTATGAGTCCTTTACAATTTGACAGCACCTAACAACAACACAGAAACAAAGGCAGACCTCCCTAGAGATCTGTGTGGAATGTGCCAGACCCTTTCCCACCTAGAAACTATTGACTACTGAACTGATATGAACTGCTACAGAAGACCTTCTGTAGCACAGAGTAGCTGTGGTGGTTAGGTGTCACTAAATTGGCTGTAACTCACAACAATCCTGTGAACAACAGATCTGCACTTTCCCCTATCCAGTCTATCTTCACTACCTTTGACATGCTCAAGGCCAGGGTTACACTCACTTTGCCAATCTGCTCTTTGAGGGTCATACTGTCTTTCACCGACCCTCCACCTTTCTCAGCATTATTTCTTTTTCAAGGACTCCTAACAAAATGAACTTTCACCCTCCTTCCCTCCAAAGTATATCTTAATTGCACTTTCTCAAAGACAGACTCGTTCTTCGGGCAGTCCATGGGATATACAGTAATTCTCAGCAATACAATTCTTCGTCATCCTTATTCATTGTCCAACTTTCAGATGCATAGGAAATGTTAGGGACAAAAAAGGGTTGCTGTATTATTAACACAGTACTACATCTGGTTCAGGCTATGCCATTCTCTTCCAGTTTTGTATTCTGGCTTAAAATTATCAAAATATGAGAAGATCACCATATATGGGAGAACTGTCTCTGTCTACCAACCAGAAGTACCCACAGAAAGAGAGATCAAATCAGAAAGGAGAACCTCATTAATAATTAGCCCATACCCCTAGACCAATGTCTTGCTCACTCTTGAAAAGGGCTGATATCTGCTACTTTTTGACAGTGTACTCTCCTCTAAATAAATTTTTCTTCCTGGTGTTTGTCTGTAGCAAATCTACAAGGACAACTTGCTAGTCCTCTTCAAGGTGTCTGACCCTGGCAAATCCAATCAACTCAATGGAACCTAACATCCTGGTAGCTTGTCTGGTATATACTACTCCAGATTTGCTGGAGGACTGAAATAAGTCTCTTCCTTTTAGATTTTTTTTCCTTTCTCCTTTGTTGAATGTCTATCTGTGCTAGGAATGCCTGCCAGTGCATCAATCAAAGCAGATTACATCTGGCCCATCTCTCCCTCTTGAACATCGACAGTAAATGAGATGCACAGTCTTGACTGTGTAGGAGCTGCATAAGGTCTTCCAAACATTAGAAATAGATGAGCAAGAATCTGTTTGTTTGCTCATAGTCCAAACACAGGATAGACCAGTGCATCTGGAGGCCAATCAACATAGTCAGCTGTGAAGAAAACTGAGACATAAGTCACAAGATTCAGCCTTCTTGGTGACAATGTAGGAAGTTCTCCCATCTCAAGCCGAGTATCTCTGACCAAAATCATTACAGTACCCTAGTCATGAGCCCTGGCTCTTTCTCCCCCTCCTCTCTGCATCCTTAAAGCTTATCTCTATTTGTCTTTCAAAATCTTGTTTATTTTCCCTTTGTTGTTGTTGTTATGTGCCATCGAGTCGCTTGCAACTCATAGCAACCCTATGTACAAGAGCTCTAAATGCCGTTCTATCCTGTGCTAACTTAGCCATCTCAAACACATTCATTCCCACCACTCCACTCACAGAATTGATCCATCTCATCTAAGGTCCTCCTCTCCTTTGCCACCCCTCCACCCTGCTAAACATGATGGCCCTCTCCAAGGACCAGTCCCTCTTTGCAACATGCCCAAAGTATGTCAGAAGAAGCTTCAGAATCCTTGACTCCAAGGAGCATTCTGGCTTCACCCTCTCCAGGACAAACCTGTTTGTTCTCCTAACAGTCCATGGTATATTCAACACTCTTCTTCAGCACCACAGCTCAAAGGCATCAATTCTCTTTCTATCATCCCTATTCACTGTCCAATTCTCTGATGAATAGCACGGAATTGAGAAGGCTGTAGCCCAGATCAGGCGCACCTTTGTCTCCAGCCTGACGTAATTGCTTTTCAGTACTCTTGAGAGGTCCCTCACAGCTGACTTTTCCAATGCAATTCATCTCTTGATTTCCTGGCTGTTACCAAGAGTGTTGACTGTGGAGCCAAGCAAACTAAAATTGTTAACTATCTCAATCTCCTCACCATCCATGCTGATGCTGCCATTGGCCCAGTGGTGAGAATCTGTTTTCTTGACGTTGAGCTTCAATCCATACAGGAGGCTGCAGTCCCTGACCCTGTGCAGCAAGTGCTTCAAGTCCTCCTCAGTTTCAGCAAGCAGGGTTGTGTCATCTGCATAACGCAGGTTGTTGATGACTCCTCCACCAATCCTGATGCCACATTCCTCCACATACAGCTCAGCGTCTCCGATGATCTGTTCTGCATACACATTGAAAAGGTATGGAGACAGAATACATACCACCGGCCCCTTCTTGATTTTGAACCATGTAGTTTCTCCTTTGCTCTGTTCTGACGACTTCCTTTTGGTCCAAGTATAGGTTTCTCATTAGCACAATCAAATGTTCTGGGATCCTCATTCTTCTCAGAGTCAGCCACAGCTTGTTGTGATTCACACAGTCAAAAGCCTTTGCATAGTCAATGAAGCACAGATAGACATTCTTCTGGTATTGTCTGCTTTCTGCCAAGATCCATCTAACATTAGCTATAATATCCCTAGTATTACGACCTCTTCTAAATCCAGCCTGTACACCTGGCAGTTCTCTGCTGACATATTGTTCCAAACATTTTTGGATAATTTTCAGCAGAATCTTGCTTGCATGTGATATTAATGATATTGTTCGATAATTTCCACACTCTGTTGTGTCACCTTTCTTTGGAATGGGAACAAATATCGATCTTTACTAGTTGGCCAGCTAGATGTCCTCCAGATTTCTTGGCACAACTTAGTGAGCACATCCAGGGCAATGTCTGTTGAAATATGTCAGTTGGTATGCCATCAACTCCTGGAGCCTTGTTTTTTGCCAATTCCTTCAAAGCAATTTGAACTTCTTCCTTCAACACCATAGGCTCTTGCTCATATGTTATTTCATGAAATTCTTCTGTCAGCCATTTCCTTCTGATACAGTGACTCTGTGTATTCCTTCCATCTTCTCTTGATACTTCCTGGATCATTTAACATTCTACTCAAAGTATCCTTAAGTATTGCCACCCGTGGCTTGAACTTGTTTTTTAGCTCCTTCATCTTAAGAAACACTGAGCAAGTTCAGCCCTTTTGATTAGTTATATTAAAAAAGACACATCTTAGGCAATTCAAAATGGCACTATATATATGTCAACAGTCCAGAATAAGAGATGCATTGCAAAGTAGACTGAGGAAGGGAGAAGAGATGGGAAGGGAAGAAACTGTACAACAATGAATGAGTTTTTTTTTTAAATGTGAACTAGGGTTGGCAGAAAGGGGGAGAAAGGGAAACGTTCAACAATGAATGCATTAAAATCCAACTATTTTGTGAACTTTCATTAAAAATAGAAT